TCAGTAAAATGACTTGAACATCAGCTGTACAAGAAAAGTATTCTACCTTCACACACAAAAAAGTTAAAAAAAAAAAAAAAGACTATTGAACTAAAAACAGTCAACTGTTTACGTATAATGTTAAATTCAGGAGTTCAGTGTTTTACTAATATATCCTGTTTTCAAACCTCTTGTTCGAAAACAAAATGTTTTGAGCAATCAACCAAAATTGTTCCTTTTCTTTTCCTGTAGATGTTCTGACAGATTTGCAGGGCTTTCGGCTCACTGTGCTAGTATGTAAAAAGGTGTTGTTTACACGAGGCAAAGAGAAAACATGCTATTCAGACAGTTGCCAAATAGAATAATTATAGCACAAATACTGTAAAGGTGCCTGGCACCAGCAACCTGAGAAAGTGTTAAAAAAAAAAAAAAAAGTGTTACAAGGTTTAAAAAAAAAAACCATCTTTGCTAATTTTTGTCCTGTTGAACATTCATGGAATTGTTAATATGACTTATATAGACCCACACAGGTTTTATTTTTGTGTCTTTAAAATAAAAGTCCAAAATATTTAAATTTTATGGTCAAATATGCAGTCAACAGCTGCTACTTTTTCTTTATATATTAAATTTCTCATATGTCTTTTATTGTTCTAATAAACCTAAGCTTGTGTGACCTCCAGTGCATATTAGACCATTCACTGTATGAAAGAAAACATGTTGAATAAATTTGTGAGTTTTTAATAAAAATAGAAAACCTGATGTTTAGATAATTGGCGTGTTATTTGATGTGTTCAAAGGGGAGCCCTGATGGGGAGCTGAATGGGTCCTCAGAAGCCAGGTGGAAAAGAGAGGCAGGATTGGGGTAATATATCTGTCTTTGCCTTGGCTGTGGCTGAAACCTTTTGCTAATGCCAGCGAAGCTTTTCTCTGTGGCTTCCTGCTGTTATTAGCTACAGATTTGCATCCTGTGGATTTAACTGATATCGTTGAAGAGATGTTTGCTGATAAGTTAATATAGAACTTGAAATAGAAATCAAATCCATGGCTAAAAAATGAGTGGTCCAGGTCTGTGATTAGGCATGAGATCCAAGGCATTCCCTCTTTCACTCTCCCTGCACATGCAAAACTGGGCTTGTGAAGATCAGATACTTGTAAATACATAGTTAGAGATGGTCCTTTTCAGTTTCAATTCATTTCCCATAGATAATCTGGCTTTCTAGTTTGGTGGTTTGAAAGATAATGTAAAGGCCTTCTAATTTGATCGTTTGAAAGATAATATAAAATGAAGGTATAGTACAGCTAGAAATGAAATATTTTAATCCCTTTCACAGAACTGATATGAAATTGTTATTTTGTAGTATTTGTTACCTTTGAAGTTCCCCAGAAGGAAAACTATTTTGCCTGGCACAATATACATATTAGCTTCTCTGAAAGACGAACAAAAATTACTAATATAGAAATCAAATTTCAACTGGGAGTTACCAAAAGCTTCTAAAAGTAGCTCAATTCTTTCCAGTCCTTCATTAGACTTGGAAGAAATTTGAATATTTTATCTACTATGAAATACTCTTGTGGATGTTTGTGTTTCAGTATCAGATGCTATTAGAGTTCCAGGATTTCTTTTCCATATCACCGAGATTTCACTCTGGATTATTTATTTCCTTATTTAAAATGTCAAAGGTTTGACATTAAATGGTATATAATTTCCAGTGCTGTTTTCAAATTTTGTTAAGACACAGCCAGGTTTATTTTTCCTGCAGAGAAGGCTTTAAAATAAGCAATATTTCACTGCATCCATATGATGGCTTATCTAATGGGGGAAGAGGCTATCCGGGAGGAATCTGGTAGTGTTCTTTCAGAAATAAAAATGTATGAAATACAAAGGAGACTTTTGAAACTCCCAGCCTCTGCATGCAGCACACTTCTTTATTTGCTTTATATGCAATCACTGGATCGGCTTGTTTTTACCTTTTTAGCATTTATATACATTATATCATAGCTAACTTTCATTATTAGCCTCTACTCTCTAGCCCCCTTTAAAGACATTCATTGAAATGAACTGCGCTCATTGGGAAGCTGCTTTTTCCTATCAAGGCTGCTGAATTATTTAGCAGCTTTATTGTGGAATCGGGGTATTTGATAAGAAGCGTTTTCGAGTTGGGCACACGATGTGGATTCGATTCTTCTTAACTCGGTGGCAGTGGCGCAGTCTCTCCCCTCAGCGCGGGATTCAGAATCCTGGCGAAAACCCGAACAGGTGGCAACGCTCAGCAGTCAAATTTGGAACCGAAGGCCCCAAGGAGGAGGCCTGGAAATGTCAGGGCCTGTTCTCCTTCCCATCAGTGCTGTGCTGCCCACCTCTGGCCCCGAGGTGCGGGGACGCGCAGCACCATCCCTAGGCGGAGCTCCCGCGGGAGGCGCGGCAGGAGGGAAGCGCCACTGCGGTCCCCTCTCGCCTGGGAGGGCAGCCTGGTTTCTCCCCGCGGCCATCTTAAAGCCACCACCTCTGTGCCTCTCGCCACCTGCCTTCAGGGTTCCAGCAGCAGGGGGCCACCATCTGCTCTGGCGAGGGAGCTGAAGCTCACCCACCCAACTTCTCTGGACTGGCTGCCGCTGGGGAGCTGCTCCGGGTGAGGCACTTGGGGAAGCATTACCCGTGGAGAGCCAGGACAGGCATTGCCAGGGCTGGGACTTGAGCGTGGACAGCATCTGAGGAGAGGCAAGGGGGAACTTGGTTTTCCTAAACTCTTGAAACTCCTCAAGTGAGCAGACGTTTGGGACAATTGGAAGGTGTCATCCCTTGCCCATCTTCTGCTGTGCCTAATCGCCCGCCACTTTGCAGCCCTTGGAGGGCAGGCAGAGGGACTGTGGACTGGGTGTCCCTCTGCCTTCTCCAGAGAAGGCTGTTCTGTTGGGGAACTGCTCACCCTTATTCTCCTCTCCCTGTTCCTCTCATCTGCTCTCATCTCTATAGCAGTCAAAGGTTGAATCTCCTTGCCACAGTCCACTCTCCATCTCCATCCCTACCCCATCAAGAAGCCCTTCCCCCACCAACTCAAGACACTGGAATGTGGGTAGGGAGAGGCCCCCAGAGGGAGTATTTGAGAATTTGCTCCCCCGACCCTTGCCTCAGCTGCTCTCAGTTGCATCTTAATTCCTAGAATTATTCCCTTTTCCCTCCATTCTTGCAGTCCTCTTTCTACCTTCAGTATAAGGTCAGGCAAGCATTTTGGGGGGCCCTGGGATGTGTGTGACAGTAGAGCAGTCTTGATTCCTTGCTAAAATGGCTTCCCAAGTCAGTAGGGACCAGGACAGAGAAGGGAGAGTAAGTAAACAGGTCTATGGCATTTTCTGCCGAGTGTGTGCCCAGCACAGTCCCCAAACTGGCCAGCAGTGTCCTGTTTGCATGACAGCCTAGAGGTGGTCTCTGCACTGACTCACCTCCCTTTCTCTTTTCTTCCTTCTCTTTACCTTGAAGGCCAGGTTTCTAAGCATTATAAGTACCCAACATAGCAAGGGAATAGGATTGCAGGAGGTAGTTTCTTAAACGTGGTGGGAGAAACATTTTTGTCCTTTAAAGCCCCATGGCACCTTGCCAAGGACCAAGGAACACACTTTTGCTTGGGAGGCCCAGACGCAGGCACAAGACTGCAAGTACAGAAGAAAACAAAAAACTGTTCTCCTAGGCTAAGTTCTCTTATGGATGGTAAAAAGCAGTTTTCTTCTCCTGAGTCCCCTGCCTAGCCTGGCATTCTTTTCTTTCCATGTCTGAGGGGGTTTACCCTCAGATAGGTTCTCCTTCTCCTCTGCAGCCCTGGTTGTCTTCATTCTTCAAGAGCCACTTTACAGGGACATGGAACAGGCTCCACTAAAGTGGTGTCCTCTTACTGCTCTTAACCCTGAGGACATATGATGATTGTGAAAGTCAGAGATCCTCTCTTCCTTTGGTTTCCATGGGAGACGGTGGAGAGCTGGGGGTTCCCCAGTTGTTCAGCTGTGGGATCCAACTGGCCTGGGCTGTACCCAAGGGGCACCGCCACAGTGCACCACTAACATCTCTTTTCTGGATCCTTTTGAGGCAGATTCTGTTTAGAGGGGTCTAGGTCTCTACAAGCAACCTCCAACAGATACCATAAGAATAGACCACTTGGTAGTAACACTTATCATCCCTTATTGCAGTTTCTGTTTACATGTTTGTCTACCCTGCTAGGCTGATCACCGTGGGGAGAGAATCCAACTTATCTTGTATCTTATCTAGCAGTGCCTGCCACATAGTGGGCAGTCAGGGAATGCTTGAAAGAAAGAGGATGTAAAGCGATTGTGTCTTTCCGTGTGCCGGATGCAATTACATTTATACTATTAAGTCTTTATATTTTGAGTCTGCCCCTCTAATGGTAGACCTGTATTTTGCTGCATTTCTGCACCTGCTTAAGGTGTCTGAGCATGCCCTCATCTCTGAACAGCAAAGATAATCAATACCGAGGGGTATGCAGTGGAGTAATCCACACCCCACCCCCTTTTCCTTGCTCAGGCAAGGCTACTTGGAGACGCTACAAACTATCTTTAACCACAGCGATTCCTAAGTATTTCCATTAATAGACGCCAGCAGTCCGCCACACACTTGTATGTGCACATTCCCGACATAGGATTCCCAAATCCTGGCCGCTGAAGGGCGGGAGGCGTGCGTCCGGCCTCAGACTACTCTAAATTGCGAAATGCCAAACCTGTTTTGGTTCCCAGTCTCTGCGCGCCCGAGTGCGCACCTGCGGTTTGAGCAGCTTAAGCTTTACTCCCTCCTTCTTTCCAAATCAGCCACCGTGGGCACGGTTAAGCTACGCTTTATTCCTAAGCGAATCTCGCACAAATCTCGAGGCATATTTTGTACAAGGGTACACTGGCCGCGCGCATCACAATCCCGTCTCAGCTACAGAAGCGGTTACGTGCCCCAGCGTGCTTCCGCACCGCCCAGTCCCGCGCACGCGCACGCGCACGCGCACACGCGCCCGCACGGCTCCAATCCCTTCAACCTTCCGCGCGCTTCCGCCTTCATCCTAGCAACGCCCGCAGTGACGCGCAGGCCCCGCCCCCTCCCGCGCGCCTCCCGGAAGTTGCCGGTCCCGAGCTGTGGGGTGGCCTCCGCGCGGACTCTGGTGGTGTCGGGGAATCGGATCTGGGCGAGAGGACCCGACCGGGAGGGAGCGTCGGGGCCGGGGTTTGGGCTGCACATTTAAGGGCGCGAAGCGGAGTGGACCGAGAGCTGGTGACGATGGCGGGGCCGCAGCCCCTGGCGCTGCAACTGGAACAGTTGTTGAACCCGCGACCGAGCGAGGCGGACCCTGAGGCGGACCCCGAGGAGGGTGAGGCCAGACTGGGGCAGGCCACGTGCGGAGCGGTGGGCCAGGCCCCGTGGGGTCCGGGGGCGGCGTGGGAGGGGCGTGCGCGAGGCCGCCGGGCCTGCGTTCTTTCGCTTGGCGCAGAGGAATGTCGCCTCCCGCAAGGGTAGTCCCGGGCTCGGGAGGAGGGCTTCGGCTTCTTTTCACACGCACTCGAAACTTAGTGCTCGGCCGGATGGGCGGAACAGATCGAGGGCTCAGGCAGAGAGGAGCTGGTCTTCGGGTTTACTTGCTCCAGGGCTGTTGGAGGGAGCCAGAGAGTCTGCTAGCAAGTTGGAAGTTAGCTTTGAGGATGCCCTTTCTGGTATTGCGTTAGAAAGGGGGAGAAGAAAGTCGCGTGTTTTTAACTCTGGTTGCTCTTAAAAACTAAGTTGGAGACTGATGGAAGGATTTTCTGGTGCTGTTTAAGCCTCTTGAAGTCTCAAGACACTTGTTCAGTGGCTGACGACTGAGACTGCTGTTCTGTAAGCTGATGTTCAGAGTCTAGCTGGGAGTAATCCTGCTTTAGACTTGAGTCAGAAGTGTGAGAAAGGGAGAATAAGGAGGGATAAATGCGAGTGCTGAGCCATGTCTTAGGAAGATCAGTTGAAGGAACCCGGGGCTGTTTAGCCAGAATAGGCAAAGAAAACTCCCCAAAGAATGGGACAAAGTGAGGGGAGAATGTGATGGCTGATTTAAGATATTAGAGCGACTGTCACGCATTGAAGAGGAATTCAACTAGTTTGATAGGATCCAAGTCATAGAGATAGATCCCACTAGTAGATGCCGGGAGTCATCTCTCCGTTTAGAAACAGCAATAAGACAGTGTTCTACTTTGGGAGAGAATGAATTTCCTATTCCTGGAAGTTGGTGGGGATTTTGTAGAGGACGTTCAAGTGTGAGATGAATGGGTCGACCTGGGTTCCCATTAAAATTTCTGCTAACTTGGAGATTCTGTTTCCTTTTCCCCCTTCCCCAACAGCCACTGCTGCCAGAGTGATTGACAGGTTTGATGAAGGGGAAGATGGGGAAGGTGATTTCCTAGCAGTGGGTAGCATTAGAAAACTGGCATCAGCCTCCCTCTTGGACACAGACAAAAGGTATTGCGGCAGAACCACCTCTAGAAAAGCATGGAATGAAGACCATTGGGAGCAGACTCTGCCAGGATCGTCTGGTGAGTAGACGTTTTGGCATGGAACTCTTTCTTCCCTAATTTTTTTAGGGTTAAAATCCTCCCGCCACCCTCCATGATCTCTGCAAGACTAGTCTGCATACCCCTACCGGTTATCCTTTCTTTTTTTTTTTTTGAGACAGAGTTTCACTCTTGTTGCCAGTGCGATGGCGCAATCTCGGCCCACTGCAACTTCCACCTCAGGGGTTCAAGCGAGTCCCCTGCCTCAGCCTCCCAAGTAGCTGGGTTTACAGGCATGCACCACCACGCCCGGCTAATTTTGTATTTTCAGTAGAGACAGGGTTTGTCCGTGTTGGTCAGGCACCCATACCTGTTATCTTAGGAGAGACCATTGATTTGGTGTTAGAAAGGGTCTTAGAGGTTACTTCATTTCACTTCATAAGGAATCTAAAGCCCAGAGTGATTCAGTTGCTGTACTCCTTATGTTCAGACTAATGGCTCACCCTACAATGGAGTGACAGAGAAGGCAGTGCATATTGGCTATTGGAGAGGGTTATGAGCTGAAAAATCATTGTGTCTGATGAGCATGTTACCCTTGAATTGCGACCCCTGTCTTTTGGTTTTTCAGGTCTTGCATTGAAGCACTGTGTAATATTAGTTGTTTGTGAAACTCATTTTTTGCCATTCTAAAAAGTCACATAATCCTTCTCTTCCCTGCAAAAGAGTTAGGAGTCCATGCGCTTATGGTTTTAAAGAACTGTAAGTTTCTCAGAGTGGAAGAAGGGGCTAGATATGGTGATTATTAAGAGAATGTCATTTGTTTTCCGTTAGAAAGGTCAGGGGCATCATGTTGAGAATCCACAGATAATATAAAAGGAACTATCATTTAGGTTATGATAGCTATGATTTAGTCCTTGATGTAGTTCTGGGAGCTCCTGATAAGCTCATTTCATATTTGCCTAGAGACTGATAAAGGGACCAATCATGAGACAAATATGATAATATTTATTGAGTTCTCACCATGCGTCAGGCACTGAGTTTAGCTCTATAATTTAAGTTCTAAGAGCCTGGGACTCAGTAAGTCCTCAAAAAAAAAATGTTATAACATCACCTGGAATTAGACAGATTTTTATAAAAAATTATCACCATTATCACTACATGTATCACCTAATATAATCCTCCCAATCGCCCAGAAAGTTATTACTACTTAGCCCTATTTTACAGATAAGGAAATTGAGGGGAAACTTGGTTACGTAACTTTGCTTAAGGTCATATAGTTAGTAAGCGGAAGAAACAGGATTCAAATGAAGGCCGTCTGATTCCAAGATGTACACTGTAGTAAACTGTATGAATGTTTCTTAATCTGAGAAATGGCATACATTCAAAGAATTTAAATAATAATTTCTGTTTACTGTTTTGGCACTTAGTTTCTGTATTTATATTTTTGGCAGCTTTGTGTCTTAAGTTTATACATACCTCTTTAAAGAAGCGCTGAAGACCCATCATGCTTTCCTAAAATCTTTATTTTATTGAAGAAAGTTTTGGGAAATTGGTCTATCTTAGAATCATACTTGAAACACATGGGGCTTTTATGTTCTACCGTGGAACAGATTGGATAAACTGTAAAAACCTCTAAGTATCACATGATACTCTAAGCATAAGTAAAACCAGGAGCCTTAACTAGCACTCTATCTACTATAGGATCAAGTTCAGAGTCCTCATGAAAGACAAGACCCTTCCTGATGTGGTCCCTGAGCAACTTTCTAGTCTCATCTCCCATCACTTCTTTGTGCATCCTGCACTCCAGTGCGGTTTCCTGTTTTTCTTCTCTCTTCATTCCCTTATGCTTCATAAGTAAAATTATAATGTCTCCTTCTCCACATGAAACCATCCCCCACCTTTCCAGGAGAGTTAGGTGGTTCCATCTCCATACGCTGTGTACTAATGACGTTGTAATATAATTATTGGCGTGCATATCTACCCCTCCCACCAGACCATGAACTCCTCCCTGCAGGTATTAAATTCTCTTTGTCTTTCCTTAGCCCCTGGCTCATAGTGAGTGCTTAGTAAGTATTTAGTAAATAGGGCACATGGGTGTGATAGATTGTACATTTTTTCAGATCAGGTTTGGGAAAACTGGTAATTCTCTAACACTAGTTGAAATCTTAATGTTCTTCAAGGGCCAGACCAAATGCTAGCTCTTCCTTAGAGCTTAATTTAAATTCACTTGCCCCACAGTTAAAATTTCTCACTCTTCTGGGTTATTGAAATTTTGTCAAAGCACTTCTGATTCTTCCTTGAGTTGTAATTTTGTGAGTCTGTCCCACTAGCTCCTTTTGTTAGGGTAGGACTCATGTTCTATTCATCTTTGCTTCTCCCTTAGCCGTTTTAGAGATTGTAGATATGTAATAAATATATTGTTGAATTGAGTACAGTAAGATATTTTCCCCCCTGATGCCACAGTGCTTTAGTTGAAATGAATTCTATGGCTAGGTATTTTCTCCAGGTAACGCCCATTTTTCTCTTTCTTCCCTCTCTTCTTGTTTAGACGAGGAAATACCTGACGAGGAAGAGTCTGGAGATGAAGATTCAGAGGGACTGGATCTGGAGGAATCTGATGAAGATGACCTGGGTGCTGCTGAGGAACAGGAGTGTGGTGATCATAGGGAGAACAAGAGCAAGAAGAGCAGAAGCCACTCTGCAAAAACACTGGGCTTCAGTGTCCAGAGCATCAGTGACTTTGAGAAGTTTACCGAGGGAATGGATGACCTTGGGAGCAGTGAGGAGGAGGAAGATGAAGAGAGTGGCATGGAAGAAGGGGATGACGAGGAAGACTTCCAAGGCAAGAGTGAGGAAGACAGGGTTGGAGATAGAAACAGTGAGGATGATGGTGTGGTGATGACCTTCTCCAGTGTCAAAGTTTCTGAGGAAGTGGAGAAAGGAAGAGCCGTGAAGAACCAGATAGGTTTGTACATGGTTTTGCTGATTGCCTGTTTTTCAAAGTGTCTGCATTTGGTCTACTTTTCATTTGTTTGTTTTTGGCTGTTCTCTCTCTCCTGTGTCCTTTCAATTAGTTTGTGACATGCCCCACTTACCTAGAGGCCTAAAGCCCTATTTCTGTATGCTTAGCCAGCCATTTCTGCACTGATCTGCTTAACTGGTTCTGCTCTAGTACTTCCTGCAACTGGGGAAGATTGAAGAGAAGAGTGTTTTCTCCTCTCCTTGGGTTTTAGCGTTCCCACTCTGCTGTAGCAAATACTTGCTTCATGGATACTGAATTTATTTTTTATAACAGAGAATATTTGTTTCCATGGCATTAAAGTGCTAAAGCTGCAGTGCTTGGAAACTGGTGTGGTTTCCTGTTCTTCCCTGCCCCTGCCATCTCACCCCCAGAGCATCTTATTATTGAGGAATGGGATTCTCTTTTGTTCTTTTTCAGCACTGTGGGACCAGCTCTTGGAAGGAAGGATCAAACTACAAAAAGCTCTGTTGACCACCAACCAACTTCCTCAACCAGATGTTTTCCCATTGTTCAAGGACAAAGGTGGCCCAGAATTTTCCAGCGCCCTGAAAAATAGTAAGAATACTTATGTCCTGTTGGGATACTTAGAACCACTTTGTCAAATGAAGACAGCTTTGACCGAAGTGGACTGGGAGCTTGAGCCATGTTTATTGTGCTTTCTTCTCATCTACCCTTGCTCTCCCCTCTCTATCCCCCTTGGCTTTCCAAGTTGCTTCTTTTTTTTTTTTTTCTTTTTTTGAGACAGAGTCTCGCTTTGTTGCTCAGTTTCAAGTACAATGGCGCTATCACAGCTTACTGCAGCCTTGGCCTCCTGGGCTCAAGCGATCCTCCCACCTCAGTGATCCTCACACCTTAGCCTCCCAGGTAGCGGGGACCACAGGCATGTACCACCATGCCTGTAGAGACAGAGTCTCACTGTGTTGTCCAGGCCGGTCTCAAACTCCTGGCCTTAAGCAACCCTCCCACCTTTGCCTCCCAAAGTGCTGGGATTACAGATGTGACCTACTGAGCCTGGCCCTGAGTTAATTCTTTAAAGCTGTTTGAAAACCCACTGATGTAGAAAGGGAGAAAAAGAATGTCTAACTCAGCTCATTAAACTTGGTTGTATCTGTGTTTAAAAGATGCTTCCTATGTTTGAGAGGTTTTTAGAACAATGTGCTAAGATGATCTTATTTATATCTTTCTTCAAGTGGCATAGAGTGAGGAAAGATGATACTGCCGAGGGAGGAACACATTTTAAAGGAGAATTACTCAGCTATAAATAATTCTAGAAGAGAAAAAGAATTGAGAGAGTATTTGGTTCCCAGTGTCTTCATATTACACATGAGAGAATTGAGACCCAGAATGACTTGCCCAAAGTTGCAGAGCTTATTTGTGTATGGCAGAGATGAAGCTCCAACTTTTCTACCTTATGATGCAGGAATCTTCCCTCTGCACCACACTGCTTCCTGTGTGCTGCTTGCCTGTGTACCCAGTGGCACTGAAGGACTGGGGCAGAGGGAGATTTAGGGTGAGTGCGCTGTGTTTGGGATATCTATCTATCTATCTATCTATCTATCTATCTATCTATCTATCTATCTCTATCTCTATCTATCTATTTTTTTTTTTTTAAAGAGAGACAGTTTGTGTTGCCCAGGCTGGTCTTGAACTCCTGGGCTCAAGCAATCCACCCGCCTTGGCCTCCCAAAGTTTTGGGATTATAGGCGTGAGCTTCTGCGCTCAGCTGGGATCAATATGTCTTACTTGCATGCTGAGACTTTGTGTTTTCATTTGCTCTCTAAAATTTATTTTTTTGGTTTCATGGAGTTAGAGTTGGAAGGGACCTGAGGAGGATATCTAATTTGGAACATTTCTCGTAGGTGAATATCTGATGTAATTAGGAATGGCTTCCTAGAGTCCAGTTTTTGGGTTTTGTGTCCTGCCACGCTTGAAGTCTGCTTCTTCCCTTGTGGGAAGTCTGGGCGGTCCTTCCAGGAACGTTGTGTAGCCTGTGAGGGTGAGGTGGGCCGTTTATATCCCCTCCCCTGTCTTTGCCTCCTTTCTCTCTCAAATAGATGACAGATTGATGGTTTTCAAGTTTTTTGAGATTTTTGGAGCACTTCCCTGCTATGTTTAGTGCCCTAGTACCCTAATTCCTGATATGCCTTTGGAATGAAACCTAGACTGCTCTAGATTAAATGTTTTAAATGTTTCATGATAAGGCCTTTTTCATTTTGTTACTCATTCTTTTTGCTTGAGCCTTTTTCATTTTAAAAAATTCATCTTAAAATACAGATATTTTAGGGGTTAGTCAGTATCCAGTATAATAGACACATATTCTTGGATACCATTTAATTTCTTTTTGTTATGAGACAGGGTCTTGCTCTGTTGCCCAGGCTGGAGTGCAGTAGTGTGATCACAGCTCATTGCAACCTTGAACTCCTGGATTCAAGCGATCTTCCCGCCTCAGCCCCCTGAGTAGCTGGTACTACAGGCATGAGCCACCATGCCTGACTAATTTTTTCTTTTTTTGTAGAAATAGGGTCTCACTATGTTGACCAGGCTGGTCTCAAAACTCCTGGTTTCAAATGATCCTTCTGTGTCAGCCTTCCCAAAATGCTGGGATTACAGGTGTGAGCCACCATACCCAGCCCATTTAGTGTCTTTAATCACTGCAATGTTATTTCACTTTTATTTTGTTCTGATCTTTTTACTCTTTTTTGTGCTTAACCAGTTGCCTCTACCTCATTGATAAACCTCATTTAATCTGACAGCGTCTATTAGTCTTACAGGGTGGGTTGTGGTGGAGGAGGGAGAAGAAAGGAGCTTTGGTATCACATATCCTAAGATGGGAGGGTAGGGAGTTTTCTAATAATGAGAATTTGTGTGCATTTGAAGAGTAGCTAATTTTTGTCTGTTTTGGTCTTCTTGTGGCAATATGACATAATATGTTGTATACTCCCCTGTTTTGATAAACAGAATTTAAGAAAAAATTCTTGGCCGGGTGCAGTTGCTCACGCCTGTAATGCCAGCACTTTGGGAGGCTGAGGTGGGCTGATCACCTGAGGTCAGGAGTTCAAGACCAGCCTGGCCAACGTGGTGAAACCCCGTCTCTACTAAAAATATGAAAATCAGCCAAGTGTAATGGTGGGCACCTGTAATCTCAGTTACTCGGGGGGCTGAGGCAGGAGAATCGCTTGAACCTGGAGGGCGGAGGCTGTAGTGAGTCAAGATGGTGCCATTGCACTCCAGCCTCGGCGAAAAGAGCAAAACTCTGTCTCAAAAAAAAAAAAAAAAAATTCTTGGCCAGGCATGGTGGCTTACGCTTATAATCCCAGCACTTTGGGAGGCTGAGGCAGGCGGATCACTTGAGGTCAGGAGTTTGAGACCAGCCTAGCCAGCATGGTGAAATCCCATCTTTACTAAAAATAGAAATATTAGCCAGGTATGGTGGTGTGCACTTGTAGTCCCAGCTACTTGGGAGGTTGAGGCAGGAGAATCACTTGAACCCGGGAGGCAAAGGTTGTAGTGAACTGAGATCATGCCATTGCACTCCAGTCTAAGTGACAAGAGTGAAACTCTGTCCCCCCCCCCCAAAAAAAAAGAGAGAGAGAAAATTCTTGGTCACATTACTCTGGATGACCAATTTATACTGTGCTATATAGCTGGTGTGGAACATAGGCTGAATTTATACTAACCCCAGAACAAACACTGGAACTTATTGTCTTTAATTAAATCTCTTTTCAATTTGCTTGGTCTTACAGAGTAGTTAGAGTCAGACCAGCTTGGTTTAGATTTCATCTCAGCAATGGATTAGCCGTGTGACCTTGGGCAAGTTACTTAACTTCACAGTAAAATGGGGATAATATGGTTGTGAGGATTAAAGGACATAATCAATAGAAAGCATTAGCACAGTGTCTGGCACACATCTCACCATGAATGTTAGGTACTAGTATTATCTTCTGCTCAAAGAGGCATTTGGCAGTATTCTACCATGTGAGCAATCACTCAATAGTTATCAGTGTAACTGAGCATCACTAGTCTTCAGTGTTTTTTACTTTTTTATTAGTATTTGGATTCTTTATATAATTTAATTGTTCTGGAAAGTGTTGTAGTTTACTAATACTTACAATGCAGTGTTGGCCTCTTATGACACTATGGAAAGATGGCTGCAGATTTCCTTATTGCCATACCCAGCTACTACCTCCTTGAAGCGTTTAACTTTTCCTTGAAATACTTTTCTTTGGTTTGGTGACACTACCTGTGCTGTTTGGGTTCTCCTACCCTTCCGATCTCTTCTCTGGCTCTTTTTGTATCCTCTCAACGTAAATTTCATTCCATTTAGAATGCCGTCCTCAGGTTGTGTTTTCTCAATATAGTCTCTCCTTGGCACTGTCACTTACTCGGATAGCCCTAACTATTGCCTCTAAAATAACAGACTTCCAGCTGTATTCTAGCCCCAGTAAACTGCTGAGTACCATGCCTTTGTAGCTTCAGCACCCTAAACTCTACTTTTCAGAAACTAAATGAATATCTCCTTCCTCTCCACACACCACCCCAAACGTATAAACTTAGTCCCCAGTCACCTTGGTGTTACATGTTGGTAATTTAAACTTGAACTGTGGAAGTGATTTCAAAGACATTGTCTGATATTTTAGTGGCTGCATATGTGGTAAGTCATGGAGTAATCTTAACAAAATTAAGGGATTTTCTGTGCACAAAACCATTTCTCTAAGAAGGTTTGCTTTTTCTCTGTTTTTTTCTCTTTTTTCTTTTTTTTTTTTCACCCAGGCTGGAGTGCAGTGGTGCGATCTCAACTCACTGCAGCCTCTGCCCCCCAGGTTCAAGCAATTCTTCTGTCTCTGCCTCCTGGGTAGCTGGGACTACAGGTGTGTGCCACCACACCCGGCTAATTTTTGTAATTTTTTTTTTAGTAGAGATGGGATTTCACCATATTGGCCAGGCTGGTCCTAAACTCCTGACCTCGTGATCTGCCTGCCTTGGCCTCCCAAAGTGCTGGGATTACAGGTATGAGCCACTGCGCCCGGCCTTTTCTCTTTCTTTTAAAATGTTCTACTGTGTTAGGAAGTATGTCTTTTATGTTGGTGGCAATGATATGTAAGGAAGAAGGGAAGTTACTTAAGGAAATCTCACCATGAGTTATTTAAAACTTTTCATTATGGGATATATCAAACTTATATAAAAGTAGACAAATAGCACAGTGAACCCCCACATGCCTTCACCAGCTTAAGCAATAATCAATTCATGATCAATCTTATTTCATCTGTAGCTATGCCAACCTCGCTCACCTTCTGGATTATTTTGAAGCAAATAATACACATCCTCTCATCAGTAAAATTTTCAGCACATATGTTCAAAAGATAAGGATTTTAAAAAATTATACCATAATCCCACATAAAACCATTAACAGTAATTTCTTAATGAACATAACTGGCCTGGCATGGTGGCTCATGCCTGTAATCTTAGCACTTTGGGAAGCCAAGGCAGGAGGATCACCTGAGGTCAGGCGTTGGAGGCCAACCTGACCGACATTGTGAAACCCCATCTCTACTGAA